TTTGTCGTAATAATGAGGAGCCAGCCGCTGATCCTGAGTGAGAACCGGGATACCTTTCCCTGCTGCCAGCAACAGAACCGGCTGCTGGTGCCACTTTGTGCGCAGAAGTTGAACACTTCAAGCTCCAACACCAAAAGGCACAACACAAAGCGCACTCCCGAAGTCGGGAAAATGAGACCACTTGCTCACAGAGAGAGTCCGGCCTGAAAGCGGCTGAAAAAAAATTCCAACATTGTGGCACAGAGTAACCTGTGGTGGTGGGTAATAGTTAAAAATAAAAGAAAAGGTCACGGTGATGTGGTGATGGGGAGGTGGTTTGGTCGCGTGTGATAACACAGAGTAAACTTCCTGGGTCCTCAAAGGAATCTTACGGCTTTGGTCTCAAGGAGCTTTGATGTAAGGGCGGAGTGGGCCTTGTGATGTGCTGGTAGTGTCCTTATCTCTTGAGCTGGAGGCCCGGGTTCACGTCCCACCTCTTTCAGAGGCGAGATATAACATCTCTGAACAGACTGATTAGGGAAAATATTTCAAAAAACCCTGCAATGGCCTAGTGACATTACTCTATTAATCTAGACACCGAGGTAATGTTGAGGGGAACCAACAGGTTCGAATCCCACCATGGCAAATGGTTAAAATTTGAATTCAATAAAATCCGGAATAAGAGTTTAATGATCATGAAGCAGTTGCTGGAAAAAAACCGTCAGGCTCGTTTAAGTCCCTGAGGGAAGGGAATATCTGGCCTACGTGATCCAGCCCAGAGCAATGTGGTTGACTCTTAACTCAGTCAGGGATGGCCAATGATGCCCACATCTTGTGAATGAATTTTTAAAAGCCTCAAACATATGCAACACAGGTAAGAAAGGCCTGATTCTTTGTACATATTTAGTTTCGTCCCAAACCCACACACTGCATCGAATTTTCGAAGTAATAAAGTGAGGGGAGATGTAAGGTAGCCCCAAATTCCTGACTGAATAGAAGCCTTAATTGTGCATGGAAAAGCCAGGGACCCTGACTGTTCAGTCGCCTATCACAAGAGACTCTCCGAAAGACCAGAATCCCTGAGCCTAGAGGCCTATCAAAGCTACAAGTGAACGTTTGGGGAATTATTTCAGTATATGATGAATTAATGGCACAGAGGGACCCAAAGACGCTGAGGCATGAATAGCAAATGTCAGCAGGCCAGGCAGTTTCTATGGAGACAGGAATAATCTGTACCATTGTAAAGCAAGATCCAAAATTTGCAGCAAAATCTCACGTCCTTCAAGGAATTGTCTTCTGGTTTTGCAAATGTGACGATGGGTACAAAATCATTATTAAGTAGAGCCACAGACTCGCTCCTAGTCACTGAGTATCATATCTGCTGGTGGAAGCTTTAACGTGTAACTTTCTGAATTAACTGGAAAGTCATACTCTCGCCTAATCATGATCGACATAATCTGTTGAGTCTGAGGGCCTGCGCCAGAATAGTTTTCTTCATTAACACTGAATCTTGCTCATTTCTATTGCAGGCCGTGTTATTAATTTTGCCATAAGGATTTTTTAAATATATGAATTTCTAACCAGCCAATAGAAAACAGTACAAGGCGGCGACAAAGGGCCGTTTTACCACGAATTTTCGACTTCAGTTTGTATCACGATCTGAAGCGAGCTATTAGGAGATTGTTGCACTTATCGATGCAATGATGGCCTGGGTGCGAATAGAGCAAGAGGATTAGTGAACAACAGAGAAAGAGAGAGAAGTAGAGGGGAGGGGGTAAGAATAAAGCCACAGGGTCGGTGAAGGAGAGAAAGAAATAGAGGAAAGGGGGGCCGATGAAGGAGAGAAATAGGAAGAGTGTCAGTAAAAGGTAGAAGGAGATAGCGAGAGGAGAGAGGAGTGGGAAGAAAGCGAAAGGGTTAGTGAAGGAGGGGAGAGGGGATAGCAAACAGGGAAGAAGCCAGAATACAGAGATGGAGAGGGAAGAGAGAGGGAGTAGGGGTAGAGAGTGGAATAGGAAAATAATGTAAGTGGGCAGAGAGAGGGAAGGAGGGTGATGGGACTTAGAGATAGAAGGGAAGGGCATGCATTTATTGAGCACCTGTTTCTAACGCCTCAAAAGCGTCGGTAACTAGTAAAACTTGTCCTTGGTTATGTGGAAATAATTTCCACCTGGAGGCCAAGGGTCCAGCCGGAAACTGAGGAACCTCTGAGATGTTGTAACGCAGAAATATTCCTGGAACATCAAGATACAGAGGCACTTCGACACAACTAGACCTTGAAACTCTTTGAAATTATTGATGAGAATCCCCGATATTGAGTACGGAAACTGGAGAAAAGTAGCGGCGTTTTGGACAGAAAAGCTGACCCTCCTGAAATTTGATTTTCTCTCACTATGGACGGCGGGCGCAATATTGAAAAGTCCAGTTAAAGTTTGCTGTTTACGACTTTCGTTATTCGACCAAAGCAAATCAAGGCTCAAAGCTTTGTTTCAATGGAATTTTAAAGTTCTAGTTCTAACGAATACATTTCTCATCACGTGTTGGGCTAGATTGATGTTACAACGTTAAAATACAATTCTAGTTCCTAACTTCAACCAACAATCCCCGCCAAATCACTCTTCTGCCTTGAGGCGTTTAATATCCACGACACCGTAGCACAGGAGTAAACATTTTAGTTGCAGCTTTTAAACGGGAATCAGACAAATATTTCATGGAAAAAAAGATACAGGGATACAGGGGAGATTTAACATCGAAAGGGCAGGCACAGTCTCGATATATCGAATGGCCTCTTGCTGTGCCGTGTAGTTCTATAGCGAACATTTGTGTCTCAGGATAAGGGAGAGAACATGACCCGCTGCGTTATGTTATAATTCCGTCTCACAGAGACGTAGAAACCACTCAGAATATTATCATTGGATGTCAGTAATGTTCCATTGAAACCCCATGTGTTTCAAGAAGTGAGATGGGTAAACACACATCTCTCACTGAAGAGAATGTTTGTTTCTCGTTATATTATTTAAATCGAAGAAATATATGAGAGTTAAAAATTATCTTAAGCGTTTCTGTTAGCTCTGCTGTACTCGGCAATTAATGCCTCGTTTTTCCCCTCTTAAAAGCGTTCAAGCTGCCCGGTTTCGGCCCGAATCGTTGACTTCCCTGCTCCCCCCCGGCGATGCTGTCTGACCTGCTGTGCTTTTCCAGCCTCACACACTTTGGCTTGCAGCATCTTGTCCCCCCGTCAACGCATTGTTTTATTTGTGGGGTTGGGCAGTTGAATCCCTACAGTGTGAAAGCAGGCTATTCACCCCATCGGGTCAGTCTCGCCCCTCCGAAAAAGCATACTCACCTTAGCGTTGGCCAATCCACATCTTTTGTACTGTGGGAGGAAGCCGGGACACCCAGAACAGACGCGAGGAGAACGTGCAGACTCCACACACAGTCGCCTGAGGGTGGAATCGAACCCAGGTTCTGAGGTTTACAAGACAGCAGTACTAACCACCGAGCCACCATGCTGCCCGAGTAATGCTTGGGAATTACTTCTAGAAATCGTTATTGCTTTCCGAGCACAACATGTCTGACGGATAGTAGCTATGTTGGTGGCCCGGTTGACAAACCTGAACTGCACCTTCCAGTCTCCCAGAGATGAGACAAGACCATAAGAAAGAAGTAAAAATCGAAAAAATAAAACTGCGGATGCTCTAAATCAGAAACAAAACATTTCTGAGGAAGGGTCACCGGACCCGAAACGTTGACTCTGATTTTTTCTTCACAGATGCTGCCAGACCTGCTGAGCTTTTCCAGCAACATCTGTTTTTGTTCCTGATTTTTGGTTTTTATTCCTGACGTTACTCTACTACGGGTTATTCCCTTGACTCCCCTACAGATCAATGATCTACCTCAATTATATGCCACTCCGGGGCGTTACTGTAATTTCCGAAGAACTAGTCAATTCTGTGCTTCCCCAATTATTCATCATAAAACGCGTCACTCCTCACGAGAACTAGCTGTACAGCTCTGTAAAGTTACTGAGATGGAAGAGCCGTGACCCTTATAGACTTGGAGTTTCTCACACAGCGGGACAGAATAGGGAAAACGACAGAATGAATCAGGAATTAAATAGCGCGGGGTTTTATTTTTAATTTCTACATACACTTTGCAGTTGAATCAGGCGGGATAATTGTTTTTAATAAAACAGACATATTTTGCTTCTCACGCTTCAGAGAGTTTTTCTTAAAATTGACAGTTCTTTTAATAAAGAATAATTCCAGCTACTTGCAATTAAAATGTAAAAATATTCACAGGACATTAAAAACCGATATATATATATAAGCTGGGGAGCGTTTGACTTGCTGTAAATTTTATAAATTACGCGGTGATGTAACAATCTATTAGTGATTAATTCTGTTACCCAGGAAGGCATGGATAACCGCTTGTTTGATTTCCCTAGACACAGAATTATGTTTTTTTTTGAAAAAAGGAATTACTGATTCCCAGAACTTCTTCAACCGTCTTTAAAAGTTCCAAGAAGATAAACTTTCGTTATTTGCTTCACTGGTGCGCAATTGGCCCGACTCACTTGTAGACAGCGAGGTGAGGGAGTCCCGTGGTTATGATGGGACCAATACAACAGCGTGTGGCTGGATATCAACATTTCGTTCTTTTTAAGATCGTGGTACAGCCAATGAGACCATTCACTCTCCGTGAACGATTGACGGAAAAATCGTATTCACTTTAGCGAAAACAATAACGCAGAGTTTTGCATGATATGAGCATCATTTTACCTTCGGGTCACATCAAGTTATGTCAAAACTAAGTTGAATCTTTCCACATCAACATTGTTTTTTTTTTAAATCAAATCTCTGCCAGAACCGGGCCACAATATATTTTAATTGTGCAAATATAAAAACCTACAGCAGTTATATTCAGAATTGTTTTATTTTAAAAATGGACAAGTCTATAAAATGAGCTAGAAAGCTGTGAGCGATTAATAAATCAAGCATTACAACATAATATAGCGATGAACATACTTTGTTGCTAATTCAGCGACAGAACGCCCTTTCAAAGACTCAGTCTCACAAACAATTGAAGTTTGGATGCTAATGTTAAATACTTATATATACTCTAACATTCTGTTCGTAGTTGTTACTTACAGAAAGAAGTGCAAACAAAAATACACCTTCCGGACGGTTGGTTTTTGAAAACGAAACCATTCTTTTTTAAAAAAGCCACACGCCTCCTATTTATTTTCTAATGTAGAAAAAGAACAAAAGTCAAATGTTCGTCAGAAATAGCGCTTCAAAACTCTCCAGGAAAGTTTGGGTCTTCTTATTGTTTTATTTTTGACTTTTGAAAACGAGCCACTGGGCTGTTGTACAACCAGCAGACAGTGGATTAGTGAACCAATTGATTACAATCAACCGGCAACCGCACTAAGAAACGATTATAAACGGGCGTGGAAGAGCTATGCTGTTATCCCAGTGTAAAATATCACTCGGGTGTCAGAACATACACCGCCCCACCCCACCCCTCCAAAAAATAGTACGAATTATTCGGACAAAAGCACTTTGGCATTATATTTTTTTTTGTCCCAAATACTGAAGAAAACAGCGAGTATCCTTTGTGCTTTTGTCAGTGCGGTGTCTCTGATTGGTACCTGATTGCAGACCAACTGCAAGGGTTAATCTGTTGGTGCACTTTATGCTGAGTTTTTGTGTTGTCTTCAGTTCTCCGGCCATCCCGACCACCCGCTGCTTGACTACTCAGTGAGTTCCTCCACACAGTGGGATGAGGTTCGGAGGCCAGGTTGGTAGGCAGTACATGTAGGGATAGTATTGATAAGCCTGGTATAACGAGAGTAAATGTGGACTGGCTATCTCGTCCGGGCTGTATTGCCTTTGATTATCCCTCACCAAAACCCTCACGGCTACTTTTTTAGCCGCCGTGGGCGCCGAATTAACGACCAACTCCGCTGCCATCTGTCGCTTCTTGGTCTTGTACCTTCTGTTCTGGAACCAGATTTTGACCTGGGTTTCTGTGAGCTTGAGGGCGGCCGCCAGATCTGCCCTCTCCGGGCCTGAAAGATACCGCTGATGGTTAAATCTTCTCTCCAATTCAAAGACCTGAGCGTGAGAGAAGGCGGCTCGGGAACGTTTTTTACCGGACCTGCTCGGTTGGTCAGCTTTGTCCGGTTTATCCTCATCATCAGTAGCCGTTTGGCGGTCTGCATCTGGAATCAAAATTGCACAAGAGCGTGGTGAAAACATTGATCGGGGGAGGCATAGGAACCCGATCTAGTTAGACTGGACTTTAAAAAAAAAGGACTGCGGATGTTGGAAATCAGAAACAAAAACAAGAATTGCTGGAAAAGCTCAGCAGGTCTGGCAGCGCCTGTGGAGAGAAATCGGGTTCAGTGACCCGTCCTTAAGTACTGAGGAAGGAAGGGTCACTCGACCTGAAACGCTAACTCTTGATTTCTCTCCACAGATGCTGCCAGACCTGCTGAGCTTTTCCAGCAATTTCTGTTTTTGTTACACTCTTGACTTGCTGCGCCTCCTTGATTTACATTTTTCTTCTGGCGACATTTTGACCGATTGCATCTCCGTCCTACAGAAAACCCAAATTATAAAACTATAAAACCCACATTTTAACGGATAAATGCACTTTTCAAGAACAACACCGCTCCCACCCCACCTCATATAAATTCATTTAGGAATGGTAAATCAATGAACAGAATTCTGGGAATTTATCTTTTGCAAGGTATAATTCAAATCGAGATAGGCAATTCCAACCTGGGTTAGGTATCTCTCCGGGGGAACGGAATCCTGAAACAGAAGTCAGTCGCTGCATTCTACAGTCTTGAACGATTTAAAGACAGCTTTATCTCCGGCTAATTCTCCGGGACGGTTTAAGCGGTTCTGTACACAGCATCTCAGCGCCGCCACTACGGGATTTCAATTCAGCCTTACTTGCGCCCCGAACCCTCGTTCACAATCGGCGATTTCGCATTCGTCCCGCAAAAATAGGGACCCAGCCTGCCTATATTTCTACAAAGTCTGGGGTGCGATTTTTAGTTTTATTTTTTAGTGCAAGTTCTGTCCACTTCCACTTTCGGAAGGTGCAGAAATGCGCGGTGCTACAATATTGACAAGTATCACTTTGGGAAAATGTGCCTTTATTACACATTGGGTCTGTAGACACCTCTTAACGGAATACTAAAATGACTTAAAGTGCGCTGAATTATGTCTGACAGTCACTGGCTTCATGTTTTAAGTGTAGAAAGGAGAAGTGTTGGGATTTAAGGTTCAGAAGCAGGAACAAACCATTCATTTCGATGTAAAATCTCAGGAGGAAATTAGCAGTATTTTAAAACCTCAGTCATTTTCGGTAATTGTTAGCATTTTGTGCGAAAACACATCTAAATTATCTTTACAATAGTCACATCTACTTCGTCAAGCGCGGGTCTCTAGGGATAGTGGTCACAAGATTGAATTTCATGGTCATTGCTGCAATTTTACAATTGCCCGCGAGCGAGGGAACCAGAGGTTTTGTGTTCTGTCGTCCGTTTCGTGAATTAACGCTCGCCAGGAGGAATTTAAAGTACCGACAACGAACATTTTTTTAAAAAAACGAAAGAAAGTGCAATTAAGAAACGTCAAAGAGAATACAGTCAACATATCCTAGACAGACTCGAAGAAATTGTACCTATTTCACTGTAAGAACCGTTTAGTCATTGATTTTGACCAGCCGTGTCATTTCTGATACTGTGATTTCTGTCGCGCATTTTTCCGAATTTGATTCTAAACGCGGCGTTTCTGGGTGTTGGAATAGCCCCTCTTGAGGAGACACTTACCTCTATCGAATTTCTCGGCTCCGTTCTCCCAGCTGTTCGCTTCTCCCGACTCCTCGTTCAGCGACTCCGTGTCGAGATGTCCCCGTTCATTATTCCTGGGCACCGGCTCTCTTTCGGTAGCTTGCTGCCGGTGCTGGTCCTGCACCGGGCCGCTGGTTAAAGTCTCTTTCCCCCGGTCCTGGTCGATTCTGAGGACGATCAGGGGAGTCGGTCTCTCCCCCTCGCCTTTACTCGGGGCGCAAGGCGGGTGGCTTTCGATTTTCAGCGTGTTCTGAGTCAGGCGAGCGTCAGATCCCCGGGTGAGAATGTCCTGGATGGTAAAAGGAGTCAAGGAGCCGCCTTGAACGGTCATTTTTATTTATTATTGCTGGGTGTGTGTGGTTGTTGTTGTGTGAATGCAGACGAATTCAAACCCCCTTTCTCCCCACTTTAGTGAGAACTCTTTCCAGGATTACAGCGCCCTCGTTCTCCTGCTTCTTTTGCCCAGCTCACCACGAGCAGCGAAGTTCCGCACATCCGCCTGGTTTTGTTTTCCGGACTCTGAAAGAAATGTCTCGACCGCCTCAGTCTACCTCCTGGTGTCAGGCATTCAATCCGAAAGAGGGAAGGGAGGAATGGCCGAGTGTGGTGGGCTATAGGGGGAGATGGGGGTGTTGGTGGGTGTGTGTGTGGCGGGGAGGGGGGGCAGTTTAATGCTAGAAATCTCTGAAATCTTCGCTCTGCCAGCCGAGGGATTACATTTTCTGCAACTTTATTTACATCGTTTATCGACAGACGGAGTTGGGTGATCGTGATTGGACCCTTAGTGGCACGCCTCACCCCCCCCCCCCAAACACTCACTCACTCCGCTGTGATTGGTCCATTGGTATAGATTGACAGCAGGTGGAGCTACGATCCGTCGCCCCCAGCACACACTCACAGAGCAAGGTCCCGTTTAAACACAACCCGGACATCTTTTCACCCTAAACTCGAGTCCCCTTGCTGTGCAGTGGCTGCCCGATTATCATTGCGAATCTCTGCACCTCATTTCTTCAGGGAAGAAAATCTGCCATCCTTACCCTACATGTGACTGCAAGCACACAGCAACGTGGTTGAATCTTAAGTGTCTTAAGCAATGAGCCCACCAAGCCGCTCACGTTAAGGGTAACATAGAAACATAGATTGTAGAGGCAGGAGTTGGTCGTTCGACCTGCTCGCCATTCAATACGATCATGCCTGATCATCCAGTTTAATACTCCAAATCCCACCCTCCTCCCATATCCCTTAATTCCTTTAGCCAGAACAGATATACCTACCCACTTCTTGAGAACAATGTTTTGCTCTCGACCACTTTCTGTTGGTAGTGAATTCCACTCTCACCACTCTCTGGGAGAAGAAATTTCTCTCCATCTGTCTTAATAGGTTCACACCTTGTTCTTATAATCCCTGGTTCTGGATTCCCCTACCATCGGGAATATCCTCCTGCATCTAACCTGGCTCACCTGTCAGAATTTTATAGGTTTCTATGAAATTCGCCCCTCATTCTCCTGAACTCCAGTGAACACAATCCTCGCCGACTCAATCTCTCCTCACACGTCAGTATGGTAATTAGGGGTCGACAGCAGACACTAAATAAAAACCGAAAGAACTGCGGATGCTGTAAATCAGAAACAAAAACAGAAATTGCTGGAAAAGCTCAGCAGACCTGGTAGCATCTGTGAAGAGAAAACAGTTAATTTTTCGGGTCCGGTGTCCCTTCCTCAGAACTTCTGGACATAAGGTAGAGTGAACTTTCAGAAGAAAGGTCGCTGGACTCCAAACGTTAACGCTTCACAGATACTGCCAAGGCCCGCTGAGTTTCTCCAGCAATTTCTGTTTATATTTGCAATTACTTCGAAACGACAGGTTGTAAATATATATACATATTGCGGCATTAAAATAAACGTGCTTTGGACTTTTTTTTCACTGCAGTTTCAATAAACAGACTAGAATTTCGCTCTTTATATTCACGCTGACTTTTTTTTTCACAGCTTCACTAGAATGTTGAAAACCGTCGAGGATTGTTAAGTGTTTCTGTTGGCTTGAGCGTTGAGCACCGAAACCAGCCGCAAACAGGAAAGTGGGTCTGAGACCACGGCTAGACTAGCCCCGATCTTATCTAATGGCCTCATCCTCGGTCCTGCATTCCCAAAATCCGCTACTTACACAAGGTAAACTCAGATGGCGAGCTCAGCAGACTGTTCAATCATGAACTCACCGACTGACTGAACTTTACAGAATAGTCTGAGGCCTGGATAGAGTGGACATTGGAGAAGATGTTTTCATTAGTGGGAGAGACTAGGACCCAAAAACACAGCCTCGGAGTGAAGGGATGACCTTTTCAGAACTGAGATGAGGAGGAATTTCTTCAGCTAGAGGGTGGTTAATCTGTGAGCTCATTACCACAGAAGGCTTCAGGCTACTGGATGCATTTAATATAGAGACAGGTTCTTGTTTGATAAGGGGAGCAAGAGTTACAAGGAAAAGGCAGGAGAATGGAATTGACAAACATATGGGCCATTATCAAATAGTGGAACAGACTCAATGGGCCGAATGGCCTAATTCTGCTTCTATATCTTATGCTGTTATGATTTTATAGACGAATATAGCAGCAAGACATTATTTATAGAGTTACTATTTCTCAAATGACTTCACATTATTGAGTGGATATTCTTGATAATGTAAAGTTCAAACAGTTGTCTCAGTTCTAAAACAAAATTAATGTTACCAAATTTTTAAAGAAAATGTAAGGCTGCGGGAAAGAATTGGTCAAATAAAAAAAAAACCAAATGAACTGCGGATGCTGTAAATCAGGAACAAAAACAAAAGTTGCTGGAAAAGCTCAGCAGGTCTGGCAGCATCTGTGAAGACAAAAATCAGAGTTAACG